CAACCAAAGGCACAGCTACAACCCGATTCACGGTCAGTTCATTCAGGCGCCGGAAATCCACGCAAAACCTGTATTTTTCGCTCGCCTTTCTTACAAGCACAACTGGGGAATTGTACGTTTATTTGCTTCTCTCAAGCTTTATTTTGATGTTTGGATTTACGATGGCCTAATGTATGCAACTCACGATAACAATGATACAAATTTAAAAATTAGGAGGGAACCAACACCTCTGGTAAACTGACAGTTACGGTTATGCTTTTAGACACCATCGCACACCCTCACCCCACGGGAGGTTTCAAAATAAAGGACAAAAAATGTTTGCAGATATCAATGGCAAACAGTATGAAGGAGAATTAATATATCCACAGGGTTGAAGAACTGTTTAGAGTTAATTTGATGGGCGGTACGTTGGACGCTGTTAAAGCACGTAGCCTAACAAAATGTTGTGAGCACTGCGGTCGTGCCGAAAATAGTTGTCGCTATGTAAGAGTAACACATGGATGTACGGTCTCAGGAGCAATTAGACTGCTGTGAAAAATACATTCTCCAGCTATCTAGACCATGGTCTTTAACTTATAAAAGGTTTCCGGTATAGTCTCCCGTTAAGTCACGGAAAACCATTTTTCACGATTGCCGATGGTATATTAACCTACCATCTTTAACCGCACTGATTACTTCTTGTAAGTTTCCATCCAGATCGCCTGAGTGAATGCCTGGAGATGTAGGCATCTCTGAATGATTGTTGCAAGCTAGGACTAAGTTTCTTCCCCATACCTTTACTCTTTTCTTCACAATAAGGCTTTCAAATAAATCATGGTTGTATGGCAGTGAAGCATCAGTGTTGAACACTGATGTTATGCTGTCGATGATGATGATGATGAACAATGATTTGGTCAGTTTGAACCAGACATGGAGGAAAAAAGGTGCTCTCTTGTCGGTAGAATATTTCTTTAAAAAATTGCGGCAGTTATTCGTTGCATAAATTGACTCGACGAATATGAACAATGGTGTTCTGCCTAATGCAGATTTCTCACGAAATGGTACGTCAGGCAGTACATAGGCAATTGTCTTCAAGAGTCATTTTAGGCATCAATAAGCAGGCTGCAGAACTTGCTCCTTTTCCAACAGTTGCCGTGCTCTCTGCAATATCAGCAAGACCAACCAGAGCCTGCATTGTATAGTGCCTTTACAAAGAGAATGATGTGACTCTACCAGCTGTGTTTGAGGTTTGTAAATGAAGTAGATGCAACTCAAATGAATAACTAAAGCACGCACAGGAAAACTTGTAGGCCGGTTTGCCTAAAGAATTATTCACAAAAAGCTGTAGCATAAACCAAGAAAAAACGTGTGAAGTGCTTTCATAGAGCAGTATATATATATATATGTGCAGTTCGTTATTTTCCAAGGTGCTTGACCAAAGTGCTCAAAGATATAATGAGAAAGAGAGCTGATTTTGAGCCAGACTAAAGGAGCGCAAAAGACCTGAGAACACGCAGCTTTTCGCTACGGTGACACACATTCGGCCATTTCGCAATGCAGGTGCGATTTAAATGTATCATGCGTGACGGGCACAGTTGTATGTGAGCATAAATAATCCCCGATCTCCCAGGTGTGGACAACACAATTAGGGTTTTTAAGCAAAGACATTGGTCAATATCCTGTCGATAAAGCAGAGGTGGTTGCTATGAGACTACTGCAGTGGCACATATTTTAGGGAAAAAAGTGTTACGTTTGTTACGACCAATGAGTCAAAAGTCTGTTAGACCGTGTTTCCCGAAAGTCTATTCTGTAAACAGCGTGACGGAAAAGCGTTCATGGAAGTTAAGCGCTTACCGTCTGATACACTTCTACGACCTACGGAAGTAGACATACCAATGCAAACGAATATGATGCCAATTCTTCATTTTTCCAAAAAAAAACAAATATGCACAAAAAATTTAAAAAGGGACATTAACAAACTCCTGAGGTTGGTGGAATAACACAGATGGTCGCTGTATAGGGCCAAGCATTGTTATTCCTAGGTTCCTCATGGTGAGACGGTGACGTATTACAGGAGCGAGACGCTTCCTTTTACGTATTGTTTAGTCGGCCATTTGTGAGGCGAGTACGATGTGACCTAATGTCAAAGAGTTGCACAGCAGCAAAGGTGAGAAACCTGCTTGAATCTTTCAACGTTCATTCTTTCACTGGAAGAAGACTTCCTTACTGATGTTTATGAATATATTCGTACGACCATTGATACCGGTATATTTATTTCAGAGACACAAA